ACTAACTGACATCCAATGATATTGTCATCATATTGTACTGCTATTGATAATTGGTTCCACAATTCAGCACATTTATGGCGCATTTCCACTGCAGGGCCTTGCACGGCTTAGTACGGTATAGTTAGGCCTTGGTAGGCCAGGCTCACTTTATGCTGTGTTTCCATTACAGTTTAGTAGCTGGGGCAGTAATTATAGTAACACAGTGTAGACGGAGCCGTGACGTCATCTTCAATGCGAACCACAGAAAAGCAACATCAGCCGTTAGCTGTTAGCACTCAGAGCTCACAGCTCCTCATATCTGTTCAGAAACTAGACAAAAGTTAAACAAGTACAAAACACAGACTATCTGTGTCATGGAGAATACAGTCGCTGGTTTATTTATGTCTGTATAGGCCGTTGTTGCGAGTGTGGACGGTCGGAGCATATACTGCGTTAGCTTAGGCGATCTCCATTCAGAAAACACGCATTTTAAAAGGTTTTTCGCCTGCCGTCTGTCTGCAGACTTGTCAAAGCATTAATTCATGTTTTTTACTAACCGGTATCAGTATGTTGAAACGTGTATTACAATTAAATCACAGTCAAATATGTTCATTTTGTTATAGTTGTAGCCCCCTTGCCAGCGATTATCTCACTAGTTTAGCATACTCAGCCCGACTCAGCCTGGTTGTTGGCCCGGAAAGAACCTGGATTTTGGAGAGCCAGAAAAACTGTGAAAAAGTACCCGTTAGCCGGAAATACCCCTAGTGGAAACGCAATAAAAAACGGGCCGGGTTTGGCACCGCACGCTTAAATCGTGCTACGCGCTGCAGTGGAAATGCGCCATAAGTCACACGAAAAATATTATACACCTTTTATATTTTTATTTATGTTTAAAATGAAGTTGACATTGGTTCGGTCTTCCAGTCTGCCAGACTCAAACAGCCTGAGTTCATCTCAAGGCAATAACAACACTTTCATTGATCCCAGTTTATACTACAAACAGTTGTAATTGTGTGCATATGTAATAGACTAACATTATACTGCTATCAGTATACAAAGCATTGTACTTCCTTGTTTGGTACATGACAAAACATGCAGTTATGAACATTAATCAAAATATGGCTTGCAATGCTATTTAAACTTTATTGAGAAAGCAAAATAAGTTCATCCTTTGGCCATAGGAAAAGTAATTTGACTACACTAACACAGCTCAACGTTACTAGCTATATCAAGTCTAGTAAACTTACATCAGTCTTCATAAACAGATGGAATTCATAACTCATACCTTCTAAACTAAAAACCTTCGGATTCATATTAGCTGTATGTTGCACGAAGTTCACTGTAGAAAATTTTAGCATGCTAACTGTCTAAACAACAACAATGAAAATGTTTATGTAATTGAACATGGTATCAGCCCATTAAATGGCCGTGAGCTGTTACAACCGACATTATAATCATCATGAATTTCCCTACGGCGAGTATTAAAGGTCCATCTTATCTTATGTTATAATGCATCAGAAGGGACAAACTGCACCAATCACATATTGTGAAATGGTTGGAGTTTTCAACATGTGGTTGAGTTTGTGAATAGAAACAAAACGACTTGGTTGAGTTAAGGCAACAAAAGTACTGTACGGGGTCAAGGTTAGTACAAGGTCAATGTTTGGGTTTACAAGTATGTTTGTTACATAACTTAGTATGTCCTTTATGTTGTTACATCAAATAAGTCAACATTGAGTTTTGTTTTCATGCGGTAAATAAAGCAGTAGGTTAATTTAGGTGGATTCAGTATTTGGAAAACCTGCTACAGATTAACATTTAGAACAGGACAGACACAGCTCATAGTTAGAGCCTTTGCATGTAACTATATCGTAATGGTGGCAGTGTAACTGAGCAAAGAAGATAGTGTGTGAAATATAAAAGGCTTGTTATAATTCCGGCAAATCTACATATAAAGCACTTTCTGACATGGTTGCCAGGGTCTCTAACAAGGCAACCAAAGATCTCAGTTGAGTTTAAAATAGCTCAGAATGGTACAACTGTTAAACAGTTTCCACAAGTGGCACAAGGTTAAGTTTTCCCCTTACACTCCTGCCCTGCCCAGCTCAAATGTACCATAGGATGCCAGTGGATGGAGTGTGTGCCAGTGGAAGCCAATTGGCACAACACACACACATTCACACACACAGGCTTAACTACCATCTCAAGCCAATTCATCCACCAAATGGCACTAATATTGTCATTTGCGAGATTGTCTAACACAAACACACACTCTTTCAATGCAAACAATACCTACTGAGGAATTAACTCATTCCAGCACACACACACACACACACACACACACACACACACACACACACACACACACACACACACACACACACACACACACACACACACACACACACACACACACACACACACACACACACACACACACACACACACACACACACACACGTACTCTCACACCCAACACACATGCCAGTAACAGCGTGAAAGACAATCCCCTTGAGAAACAGGGCAAAAGCTCCAGGAGGGAAATCGCATTAAGTGATGTGTGAAGCCTCTGTGGAAAAGTAGATAGATTGAATGCGGCTAACATTTCATATTATGTCCCCTAATGTTAATGGGGGGGCTGTAAAGACTTGACATCTGAGGCTGGGCTGTCCCAGTGAGAGGTAAAGAAAGGAATTTGTCACTCAAGCTTCTAAACTCTTAAATCTCCCCCTAATACGGTACAATCAGCAGCCTCTGATATTCAGAGTCGCTTTCCCTCTCCGCTCAGACTTCAGGCTCTGCTCCGATTTTACGCCTTCCTCTGAAGCGGAAAAACAGGGTTCCCGACCCTGTGTGTGTATGTGTGTGTGCCGACGGGGGTCTGTATACCTCCCTCCTTTCTTCCCATAGTGGTAGTGTTTTGGCTAGTGTCTCTCAAAGCCTTTTGAAGTCTCTGGTGTTATCTTGGTGTCAGCTGTGGTGATGGTGGTCAAGGTGGGAGAACAATAACACACACACATACACACACACACACACACAACCTCTGGGTCAGATAGTTGCTGCGTGGACAACTGGAGTCGTTAAATGAAGTCATACGTTGTGTTTTCCCTCTGTTTGAAGTGTGTGTCCTTGCATTCACACTTCCTCTTGTATACAACACTGTGAGTACGGGCTCATGTAGGGCCTGCCTTTGAAAATACTGTGTGTTCAAGCGTTATGGCAACAGAGTACTATTTGTACAATACTATAATTAGCAAGATGACTAAGAGAACACATCATTTATTTTGTGACTAAAAAGAAATCATCATGAAGATCCGACTCGCATATGCAGGCCATCCATTAATTAACACGTTTACAGGAAGTTATGGGTAGCGTTTTCTCTTTCTGTGTGTTGGTGAGGAATCCTTTTGAATCCTCTCATACACACCCTTATCGTGGTCGGTTGTATGAGTTATAATTGTGTTTCCCAGAAGGACGTCCAAGCCCAGAGAAGACACACACACTCACTCACATTACGTTTGAATCATTCAGCACACTCAGCCCTGCTTAATTTGAACGCTGCAACTCCACATGCAGCAACAAATACGGTACATACCCACATCAAATCCTTTACGATGGGGAAACGTCCACATATAGGTACTTAGTAAATAAATGTCTTCCCTGCTGTCATATGTTTGAGAAAAACTTGGATATTTTATTTGATATTTCATAATGTAACAGCTTGACAAGGTTTTTTTCCCTTGTTTTTTGGCTTGCGTCGCAGTAACTGACACACACAAAACGTCTAGAGTTCAGATGTGGAAACAAACTTATTTAGAATGATTTATTTCAGTTATTCTGACTTTGGATTTATTTATTTTGGGTACAGGGACACACCACTTCGGGGAATGTTTTTTCCTGTCTTGCCACCCATCAACCAGTACTCCATTAGCTATGTCTACGTCACGCAAATCCACTCTTGTAGAAGCCCAGTTAGAAGCCTGTGTATACCGTACAGGGCAGTGAAATCTGGTTTCTGTATCACAAAACAAGCCGTGGACGCCAGATTTACCTTCAACTTTAAACATAAAAGAACAAGCCAGACTCTCGTTAAACATCAGCAGACTGTCAGAAAGAACTCCGTGTTACTAATATGTATGTAAACACACTGAGAGATCAACAAGAAGGTCTTCACTCGGTCCGTTTGAGTTGTTAGTTTGTCTGTGTTGGTTGTGCACCAACCAGGGTTTCATTTTGGGATCCAAAAAATGTCATGTATTGTAGTGATTAGGACTCGCTATACTATAACTATCAGTCAGTAGAGGTGATTCATACTAATATGCCTCAAAGTAAAAACCTAGCTTAAGTTAAATTAAGCTTAGTCATACTGTAACAAAAGCTTATTTCTATATGGAATATAATCATCAATCGATTAAAACACATGTACACTTAGTATATTTTAGGTATAAAAAGACTAATAAGAGATAACAAAATGATATGGTCAAGACATTTGACCTGAGATTTAATAAAAAAGTTTCATGATGAATTTGAATTACATTTGAAAAGGATAACAGAATAGACAATTTTTACCTATAACTTATAATAATTAGCAAATAATTATTAATAATTTATCTTACAGTGTATAGGGTTTCTGTTTTGCGTGGTAAAGTTACTGTTTTGGTCAACGTAGTATGTTGGCCTAAGATAAAGCATAGATTTCGGACATTTGATAATTTGGGTTAAATTTTAGCCGTTTTTTTTGTTCTTCCTAGGTTTTGTCCCTGACCCTAACCCTTATTATGAGTATAACCTTAGACCCAGGGCAGAGGTCCTCTGCTTCCTCCAAGGCTGAACTTCAGACTAAAGGTGAAACCACCATAAGTTCAGCCTCTGCTCTTCTGACACGGTCACCTATGACATGGCCTCTGAAATGAAAGTCCTACAAATTGGCTAAGGGTGGGGGGAAAGTGGCACATAAGTCACATGCATCAAAACACTGTTTACAGACTTTGTATAAATGTGTTTCCTCTTTCTGTCCTCAGATGTGACGGGTGCGTCTGTGTGTCCTCCGGTGGCCCTGGACGTCGGTGTGGGGCTCCTGTGCCGGCTGTTTGAGCTGTGGGGACAGGCCCCAGCCGGGGCCCTCGCTCTGACAGAGTGGCTGCTGGGTGATGAAGGGGTTAACTATGAAGCGGTGGCAGAAGAAGCTTCCAGCCTGGTAAGAAGTCATCACGTAACAGTAAGAGTAGCTTGGTCTTAGCGAGATCAGAGCAACCACATATCATCCAACAGTACGAAGGAACAATGCAAGATATCTGGAGAGTACTTATAGGACATTAATGCACAAACGATGAAATCACAAACAGTTTTTCAGATTGGTTTACGATGGTGTCCATAAGTGTGGATTCACAGGGACAGACTGCACCATATTTTATTTTCCTTGCCCTTGTTTTTCTCTGGTCATAGTAGTAGTCAAAATAGCTACAGGCTTTAATCCATCAAGGTTTTTGCTTTCAGGCCACACTTTACTAAGATGTCTGTTCAGTGTTTGTTCCAGTTGAGTTACTTTTTTCTTTCTACTTTAATCAAACTAACAGTAAATCATTGTGTCTTGTGGCTGATGGCTTAATGATTTTCAGCAGTAGTTGCTGCACAGGTCAATATTTGTATTGTACCTGGGGCTGTTTTTGAGAGAAATGCTCATTTAAACAAACAACTTGCACGGTTTTAATGAAGATTCTATAATTCTCAGTTGTCTTTTTCTATGAAAGGACCTCAACTTTGTTTGTTAGCTAAGTTAAATTGTTCTTTGCGTTTGGATTCCAGTTCTTGACTTCATTCTCTTGAAAAACAAATTAACTTACAGAGAACTATCCCCTTTTTTTGGAGTTCCTCTCAGTTATACAGAGTCATTTTGTGTATTAGAGCTGATGGTTTTAGTTTTTCGGGTACTTAACTTTACTGTTTTGATTTACTGTCCACCTATTTATGTTCTGATGTAAACCAATTTTACAGAGAGTGAATATTGAAACCTCATTTATCAGGGAGGGGTCCAGAAACACAACCGCTATGCTAATGTTGCTCTATTTGTGTAGGTATATATAAGCAACAACTTGCTATCGCATCCATCATATCAACTTAGGAATTTTTTTAAACTCAATCTTTTGCAGAAAAAATACAACCAAACAATACTGATTTAAATCAACATCCCAGTAATCACATTTCCTTTTGCTTGTGCCCAGGATGATGAGGACTTCCTGTTTGAGAAGGGGGGTCTGAACCTGTGGGCGGAGCCTGTCCAGTGGGTGAATCTGCTCCACCGACACGTTCACTCCCTCCTCCTGGGCTTCAGGCAGAGCCAGGCCCCAGGGGTCCCGGGTCAGGACCAGGTCCACCAGATCCAAACACTGTCAACTCAGGCCCAGGCCCAGGCACTGAGCTCCCAGAATGCCTTGGACTCCCTCCCAGCTCTGCCGCAGTTCTGCCTCACCATGGAGCACGCCCGGCTGCTGCTGCGGCTCCAGAGGGCCACGCTGGCTCTGGAGGTGCTGGACAGGCTCAGGTAGACCAGTCAGCCCACTTTTTAGTTTTAAGGGAACATTTTGATAATTAGGCTAGAAATAAAGGAAGAGTTGTCAGATAAATACTTCAACAAATCTGGACACAGACTGGCTACGTGATCTTTTTTCATTATCATTTCAAGGGAATGAAGGAACACTTTTTTTTTTATTCTGTCATTGTCTCTGTCTTAAAATTGTTGTTCTCCTAATTTACCAAATGTCTTTCAATTCTTCTGTTCACTGATGTCTTTTTTAATAAACAAACCAAAGTATGCCAAAGTTGTATTTTTCTTGAAGGGATAGACATTTGCAAAGAGGCTGGAGAGAGAAAACATAGAAATAAAATGAACACCGTGTGAATTTGTGTGCAGAAGCCATAACAATAACTCAGCAGGAGCATGTGCACAAACAACACTCGCCGCTCTGTTCTCCTATCAGTGGGAATGTGTCACACGACAGACTTCAACAGTGTCAGTATTGAGTACACAGGCCGTTCTGCTTTCTCCACGTCTACTAGGGATTTAAGGTTGGAACAAAACAACTCTGCGCCTAAAGCTTCCAGTTCTGACTTCAATGGCGCAATTGTGCGGCGACACAAGCTTTAAGCATGGGACTCTGAAAGCAAGTCTCTGACACGTTCCAAAAGTTGTATTTCAGTATACGCTTCGTCTCTACTGTATGTTTATACGAGGTGTTATTTTCCTCTGATATTTAATTTACTGCAGGATTCTTCCCATTGGATGGTGTTTTTATGCTTCCCTCTACTTTTCCTGCTTATGTAATTAGGAAGACGGCACAATGGACTACTGTCCTCTCTCGCTGTGTGTGTGTGTGTGTGTGTGTGTGTGTGTGTGTGTGTGTGTGTGTGTGTGTGTGTGTGTGTGTGTGTGTGTGTGTGTGTGTGTGTGTGTGTGTGTGTGTGTGTGTGTGTGTGTGTGTGTGTGTGTGTGTGTGTGTGTGTGTGTGTGTGTGTTTTCACGCTGCCCTCTCTTACAGCTGGACCCTTCTCCCTCCCTGGTAGCCATGTTCCTTGTTACAGTAAAACTGATGTAATGTTTTGGAACGGCTCAACATCCCCCAATAAAAACAGAGCTGTGTGATGGGAGAGTGGTTTCTGCGGACAGGGACGTGTTCTAGGGATTTCTCAGGAGGAGCCTCTACGTGTCTGCCCTTCACATTAAACTATTTATCACAACTTGCAAAGCGCAAATAGTCCTGGGACAGTCCTCAGACTAATTTTAGGGTTGGTAGTAGTAGATTCCAAGCTCTTATGTCACTTGTTTTTCGCCTTTTGCTATTTTTTTTCTTCTTCTCCAACCAAACCATTCAGCACCTATATTGAACCATGTCAGCGAAAGATATTCATTTCTTTGCAACCACTCTTCCAATTATGATCCTATGTTGAAAGGCTTAATGGTTACTGTCGCAGAAACCGGCAATTTCTGGTGATATGTGTCGCTCAAGGTTTTTACACCTTCCTGACCAAAATATGTCCTGTGGAGCTCTTGATATAGAGTCCCGTCCTCTGCTGCCAACGCTGAAATCTTTCCACTGTGGTTCTTTTTTAAAAACTTGACAAAACTCCAGCAGTAGTTTGACATTTTCATGTGAACATTCTGACATGCTGAGAAGGTTACATCATGCTGAAAAATACTTATGGCAGCTTTTTTTGACTTTACCAAAAGGATATGACTGAGGATAACTAAAACATGCTGTATCCTGTCTGAAAAAATATAATTTATCCACAAAGAAGTGACTTTATAGCTGAAAAATGATCCTGAGTGCAGTTAAAATCTTGCTCCAGCTCTTCTCAGCAGGTGGCGCACTATTCTTGATCTTCAGTTCTCCCTTTCCTCTCATGGGGGCAGTGTTGCTCTGCTGCACCACATGCAAACCACATTCCTGCAGTCTGGGCTGAGATTGGGAAAAACAAGTCAGGGAAGGAATTTAGAGAGTGGCTTTAAAAGATTTAACCAAAGTAAATCCATTTTGTGCTTGGAGTGACTCGACATGTTGTGCTTTAGGGGGCATTTCTGATCTTAAGGTGAAGGCAACATTTAAAGACAAAAGAAAAGTGGGTCATGTGAGCACAGCAGGCTTTAACTTGCATGTGTTCCATGTGTAGTAGACTGGAATAGGCTGCGGAAGTAGATTATGCAACCAGTGGATTCTAAAATGTGTGCTGCACTCTGCCTGGACTCCTCTCTGCTCATACTTGTGGTTTCACTCCATCCACGGGGAGAGAGAGGCAGAGTTTCCTTCCATTACAAATACATATGTCAGCTCCCAACAGTATGGTGGTCCACAGAGGCTAGAGGGGTGGCCTTATCACTGGTGGGCTGTTGGTTTAAATCTTTGCATGCATAGTAGACGTCCCTTGATGCTTCCACATTCTTTCTCAGCGAGAGTCAACCAAAAAAGCAAAACCAACTTCCACAAAATTGGTTGTGTTATAAAAAAATAAAAAAGTTTAAAAGGTGAGGGGGGGCGGGGGGTTCCTGGGGTTGGATTTCGAGGCGTGGTGTTGTAGAATAGGCAACCAACCGATGAATGGAAGTTTTTTTCGGGGAGGAGGGGAGGAGGCGGCTCCTCGCAAAACTTTGCACCGACTTGAGTTCGCCCCTCCCCGGCCACCGCAAGGCATTTATACCCATGTAAAAAGGCTCGAGCGGACAGTGAAGCACTCCGGCTCAGCGCTTCTCGAGGGGAGGACATAAAGCCACCTACAACTCCACCATACAAACCTATCCCCCTTTTTTCCCTTCATTTTCTACGGACTTAAACTGAACACAAACTTTTTCCACAACCAAAACCAGTCGTGGCACAAACTACCGCACGTAGCGTTCAAGGATCCTGGTCGGTCCTCCATGAAAGAGGGAGTGCAGCAAACTTGGGGAAACGAGATGTCTGCGACAGTCTTGTCTGCGTTCTACGACATGGACATGCTTTATAAGGTAAACGTTTATATCAACAATAATGTGTTTCCCTTTTGCATTCAGGGTGAAGCACTTTAATATTTGAAAGTTGAATAAGCTGCTTCAAGTTTTAAGATGTGTGCAACAAGTTGTCACGTTGCAGGCAAACGTAGTTAATAACATGCCATGTGGTCAAAATAATTTCCAAATTTGAGCCTGACGTGCATTGCTAACTTGTATCTTTTCTTTTTACAGCAAGATAAAAGCATGAACATGAACGCCATCCACATCAACAGCATGCTGGACAAGAAAGCTGTGGGGGCTCCGGTCACATCTCCGGGCTCCGGTAGCCCCTTCTCGCCGGGATTTTTCCGCAGAAACTCAACCAGCAACGTGGAGGCAATGAACAACGGTAACAAATACTCCATGGGCTCCTACAGCAGCCTGAAGGAGAACATACCAACCTGCAACAGCACCGCCACGGCCCTTATGAACAAGGAGAACAAGTTCCGCGACCGCGCTTACAGCGACAACGGAGACCGGGGCCTGCTGCAGCAGAAGCCCGGCTCTCAGATCAACTCCACCCGCTACAAGACAGAGCTGTGCAGGCCATTTGAGGAAAACGGGTCTTGCAAGTACGGGGAGAAGTGTCAGTTCGCTCACGGCTACCATGAGTTGAGGAGCTTGTCCCGCCACCCTAAGTACAAAACAGAGCCGTGCCGCACCTTCCACACCATCGGCTTCTGCCCGTACGGTCCCCGGTGTCACTTTATACACAACGCCGAAGAGCGCCGGTCCCCTCCGCCCACCAACGCTAACATGCAGGCCGGGGAGTCCCGCTCAGCCCGCGAGCTGTGCGGCTACGGGCAGAGGGACATCCTGCCGCCGCAGCTCGGCTACACCCAGAGGGACAGACCAAAGCTTCACCACAGCCTCAGTTTCTCCGGGTTCTCCACCCACCACGGACTCGAGTCTCCCCTGCTCGACAGTCCCATGTCCCGGACCCCTCCTCCCCCTACCACCACCTCCTCCTGCACGTCCACCTCCAGCTTCTACGAGGACGTGTTGTCTCCTAACTCCATGTCCTGCATCAACAGTGCCTTCTCTTTCCCTGGACAGGACTTAAAAGCCTTACTGGCTCCCCTGGCTGTGCACACCCCCAGTGGCTACGCCAACAACCACTCCACCAGTGCCTACTACGGGAACATGCAGAGCAGCCAGTGCCCTCCCTCCCCTCCGACCTACAACATGAGCCACTTGCAGGCGCTGCGCCGCCTCAGCGGGTCGCCAGTGTTCGAGCCTCCTCCCAGCCCACCAAACTCGCTCTCTGACCGGGAAAGCTATGCGAGCGGGTCCCTCAGCTCTTCCGGGAGCCTCAGCGGCTCCGAGTCCCCGAGTCTGGACGCTGGAAGGCGTTTGCCAATCTTCAGCAGGCTGTCGATTTCAGATGACTAATCGTTTTTTTGTTTTCTTATGGATTTATGGACGGGTCAGGCAGGGTGGTTAATTAAAGGACCCGGGGAGTGTCAGTGAGTGAGCTAGACTGTCCTTCAAGGAGAGGAACCAAGTTAAACCTCCTCCATCCCATTTCAGCTACAACCACCCTGCCGATGTGCCTTAGTGTAAGACATTGATTCTCTACCAGCTCCAGGGGTGCTGACCCTGCTCTGACCTCCCTGGAGGGGGGCAAGAGAAGAGAATGTCACCCACAGGGATCAATAAAGCTTCAGACAGTTTAAAGTGTGCTTGACCTGGCATTAGTTAGTCTTTTTTTTCCTTGTATGTAATATAGCTGTATTAAAACTTAGATAGCAAACAGAAGGCATTCCATCAGTGCCTTGCCCGAGGGCTCATGGCAGCCCCTCTCCCTTTTTGCTCTATCAGGCAAGCCACACTTTTCCTGGGATTAGATGTGTGGGTAACATGACTTGACAAGAAGAAGAGACTGTAAGCAGTTTTCAGATTTCCTCCCATCCTGCCAAGAATATGCCTTGACTCAAAGTAACATTTTTTTCTTTATCAAAGTGTTTGTTTTTTCTTTTTCTTCTCTGAAAGCTTCAACTTCCATTCCAGACCTGTCTTTTCCCAGCGCCACCCAGTGGTTCGTTTGGTTAGTCTAGTTTGTTGCTTGGATAAAAAGCACTCTTGAGTAGGGTTTGTTTGTGGAAATCACTGCTGATGGTTGAATATATATATTATTATTTTTTTTAGCTGTTTTTGAGTGATTGACATAGCTGTGCATAACTGGCTATGGACTATTTAACTTATTTATTATCTTGTGAAAAAAGTATAGGCTACATTGGTCATTTGTGTCCATACTGTATTTATCAAGTATGATGAAGCAATAGATCTATATTCTTTTATGTTTAAATTATGATCGCCATTATTAATCTGCATAAAGTGGAGTGTATGTTCTTTTCACAGTAATATATATATATTTTGTTTTTTTTTCTCCTTTTTTTGTAACTTCACTTGGTTATTTTTATTGTAAATGAGTAAAAAAAATCTTAATTTAAGAGACCGTATGTGATATTTATTTCATTAATTTTGTTTCCTTGTTTACGTTTATTAAAAAAAGTTTGCGTGATTGCTGTTTGCTCCTGAGGTTGTGTGTCAGTGCTGTAGAAGGCTTTTTCTGTCTTTTTTTTGTGGAGGATCCCTATTTAGATGTTTCTGTAGAATGTATAAACGATGTGGTTGTACAGACCGTCCAAACCTTACTTCTTTTGTTGATCTACATCAGACTTCAGCGACAAAGAATCCAAGTCAATAAATTAACCAAAAAGTATTTTTGTTTTTCTCTCTGTTTGCACGAGGTCACACTGTGATTCCAGCCACGTGCTAAAGAATGTAGCATCCCTTGTGCCCCAGTATTCTTATGATGTAGTGCCTATGGGGTTCACCATCTTGACATGCCTTAAAATTAACCAAATAAAGTATTTTTCCTACATGGCATCTTTTATACATAGGTTGAACTGAATGTAGTGTTGAATTCTGAATATCTTTAAGGTTGTTACCACTCAGACACTCTGAAAAAACAACCGAAACTGTTCTAAATCCCCATTCCTCTTATTTCCTGTAGCTCTGTTTCTTTTTTTATTGATGTTGAAATCTAGTCTGAGTCTTGAGTTTGCTGGAGAGGGAAGTGGATGAACACGTTTGGTTTGTACATAGTAGGTACAGGGGGATGCGCACTATGTACTTTTGACTACTTTATCAGAAGTAAAGCTTTTTGAATGTAACAAAACGGACAAAAAGACAACGAGAGTTGTTATATTTTTTGGGGAGTCAGTTCACTACAAATTGAGTGTGAGACTGTTAACTTTGTACTGTACATTTTATTGTAGTTCTCCCAATAAAAATCATTTTGAAAAAGCTTACGTTCACAGAAACTTTGTTTTACTTTTGGGTATATGCACACGTGTTCACACCATGATGTTTCAGAGGAGAACATGTGACATTACGCAAGAAAGCACCACAACTCTCCTCCTTTGGATAAAAGCCTGGAGGCCCTTGCCACTGCTTGGCTTGGGGCCCCCAGCATCTGCCCCTTGTCCCTCAGTATACATTGAAAGCATTGACCTGTAGTTTCCACATAGGGGCCTGACCCTGAGGCCCATCGCCTGTCAAACAGAAGAGCTGCAGGTGGGCTCTGCACTGTCTGAGGTCATAATGAACATGGACAGGCAACAGACACTGAACAAACTGTGTAATATTGCATCATCTGTAATGCTCTGCCATAAACACAGCGCGATGAGCGATATGTCCGCACCGTCTTTTTTAAAATGGAAAATGTGTAGGAGCTCACAGGAAAGTGAGCGGAATGTGTCTGTGGCTCAGGCTGGGAGGCTGTCTGGATCCTCGCCATCAGGAGAAGATTGTAATCTTTTAATACATTATGACCCTTTTCTCTGACATAATGGACACGGGCACTCACAAAACATCCCCATCCCTAGAGGGCAGCCACCTGTAGTAAATATGGAGATTAACCAGTGATGGAATGGGAAGTCAGAGCCTTTAATTCAGTAAAACCCTGTAATATAAAGAAAGATATGGCTGTACTACTACATTCAAAGTCCTGCATTCAGAATTGCAGGTTAATGAGAATAATCATCAACATCTACCTAAAGTATCAAAAGTCAAATGTTTTTTTTTCAACTAAGCTACTTATTAACAGTTTGTTTATACTGAAGTATGTTATTGTTGTAGCTAGTCATGTTAAAGCTTTTTTGATCCACTTAATTTACATTGATGTAGTAGTTTAGGGCAGTGGTTCCCAATGTAGGGGTGGTAAGATAAATCATGCTGTGAGAAAGAATAAAACAGCAAAATGTTTCTTTTTTTCCCTTTGTGTGATATGTTCAATGGTGTCTACCTCTAGGCATCAATTGGATATTTCAAATCTGAATCTGAATTGGAGCACATAGGGGCCAAAACAACAGCAGAATTCTTCAACAATTCATAAAACTTAACCGTCTCATATCCATTTGTAAATTCCACATGTATTTTCTCTTAAACTGTATTAATAAAAACAGTTTCTCATGAGCAGTGTCACCTTGGAAGGTCATTTTTATCCGGGAACAGTGACACAGTTTATACTAAATGAGTTTGAATAGTAAGCTTTTACCACATTTACCTCCATCCATCAAGACTTCTCTTGATTGTATGTCAATGTGGAGGCTGGCAAAAAAACAAGAATTCAAGGTAACACGGTGCGTATTTGATACACTGTATAATCTGTCTTTTTTTAGGGGAAAGTATTCTTTTGAGGACAGTCCTGCTTTCCACCCCTGAGATTAAGGAGTGCATGATGGTCACTAAGCCGGTGTTGTCAGGTTTACAGCTGGAGTGATTGCTCACCGGTGTGACAAATCAATGATCTTCAATCCCATCTCAATGATCCTATATGCTGCTTCACTAATTCATCTTCCACTGTAATCCGTCAGTGGTGTTACTGTGAGTGATATGAGTGTGTCCTGAGGTCAGACAGGCGGAGATGGATGTATCAGTCTGGGAACTGAACACCAGACAGGAACCCGTAACTGATTAACTCTGCAGCTGTAAATGTGTGTCTACTATCAGTCAGTGGGCAGGTAGACCAGGGTCGCACCCTCATTGGTGGGTCTTATTCGCTCATGTCTAGACCGAAGCCCCTGGCCAACATGTTAGTGTTGTTGTGGTGCCGCCATTTCCAGGAACCTTTTCAAAGAGTGCCTGTCCTCTGCAGGCTGTTCTGTGAAGTTATCAGCGATGGCAAAGGCAGTAAGAAAATAAAGGGCCCAGGAGTCATGTGGTGCCTTGAGTTCACGCCAAGATAAGGCGGCTGATAAGGGCACCGGCAAATATTTACTGTGTCCTCAGGGTTTCATAATGAAGTGTTTATCAGAGCAGAGCCAAAGGGCCGCACAATGCAGCGGGCCCTGCCAACAAGGATCCACTGTACCTGTGACTCAGTGTGTTTGTGCGGGAACATGAGTGTGTGTGGCTATGTGTGTCAATCAACAAACCCTCATATAATGCTTGATTGTTTTAACATTCATATATCTTAAATGAGATGTGGGTAGCATTTTCAACTAGAGAATGCAATTCCTGAAGACCTTGCTAGTGGGAATGCTTTATGCTGAAAAGCTGACGCTAAACTGCTATGCTGAAATTGAATGTGTAAGAAGAAAGTGAATAATTTAGATTGAAATGATACATGAACACTGGGGGCTTGCATGTGTGATGAGAGAAGAAAAGAAAGTAAAAAGGCTTGGAAAAGCAGCAGAATGTTTGAACTGTAGACTTTTTGACTAACTTGATGGCGATCATCTTAAGTCTGGTGGTGTTTTNTATTGTTGTTCTATAATCACAGTATATACAAACAACTAAGTGGTTTGTTAAGTTTGAGTTTAGTAAGCCTGTTATTGTTTAAGGGTGTCACTGAAAAAGAGAGGAGACAGTTTCTTCACTCACAGCAGGCTG